TAAAATGAAGTTTGAAAGTGGCTGTTTTTGAAACTAGTTGGGCCCTCAGTGAATCTTGTTCATACTGAGGGGAACACGTGGTGGAAAAAGGACACAGGTGTGATGAACCATTTCAGAGACCAGGAACTGCTTTGTAGTTAGAATACCTTACACAGGCTGCAGAGGAAGGCAAAAGCCCCATCTCAGAAAGGAAGGCGTCTGTCTCCAGTGTTTATTAGGCCCAGCCACTTCCCTTGCTAAGGTCCTGGGGGTGAGCCCTCCAGGCGGTCAAGGGCAGGCAGGAGATGGGACAGTGAAGGGAGGATGTGTTCTCTGGGTACAGAATCCTTGACCACAGGGTCCAAAGGTCCTGGGCCAACCACCAGGAAGCTGTGCATGCCTACAGCCTGTGCTCCCTTATAATCACAGTGGTAATTGTCCCCAATATGGGCTGCTACTGCCGGTTCCACCTGAGCAAGTTGCAAGGCCTCATGGAAAATGCGGGAGTTTGGCTTGGGCCAGCCGGCAGCCTCAGAAGTAAGCACAAAGTCGAAGTGTTCCCGCAGGCCAAGACCCACCAGGATGTCTTCTAACCGCCGGTCAAAGTTGGAGACCACTGCCAGCCTAAGACCTCGTTTTCGGCACCCCTTCAGGGTGGATTCAGCCCCCTCCAACACCTGCCAGGTGCAGGGTTTGCTGAAGTCCTTGTACAGCTGGTTGGCAATGGAGGCCACAGTCTGAGCATCCTGAATACCTGCTATGTGGAAAGTCTGCAGGACCACATCCAACCACCACTGGCAGGAGGTAAGACCATGGCTCAGGCCGTAGTTGGGGAACCTGTGGCTCTGAGCCCTGAATGCCTGCCCAAAGGCCTGTTCCAGGGTGGCTGCCTCTACCTCCAGCCCATGGGCCCGGGCCTTGGTGGCATATTCTTCTCCCACAGGACGGCGGATCCTGAGCAGTGTGTCCTTCACATCCCATGTCAGCAGTCTTATCTGTAGCCGGTGTATCATGGGTCTGCAGGAGGGGGCCAAGTCTACTCCAGGTCTGCCTCAGGTCCCAGAAGCCAAAGGGAAACTCGGCTACACAGATTACCCCTCCACAACTTAAAGGTCTTCTCTTTCCGGGCCTCATGGGTCAGATTTCCTGGCACTTGGCTGACATCATCACAGCAGATCCTGGAATGAGATGGCAGGTGAGGTGGAAATTCAGGCCTTGCAGTCAGAGACAGACTGGGTTAAAATTCTGGCACTGACAACTCACTGTGTCACCCTAGAAGTGTCACTGAATCTGTCTCTTCATGTCAAAGAGGAGCACAATAACCCAGCCTCACAAAACTGGACTAATGAGACCATCTGTTCATTCCACAACAAATTTATGAGTATCTATTATGTGCTAGATGCTAGGGAATAGGACAGATTCTCACCCTCATGGTGTTTATAGGCACTAAAGAATAGGGATACAGATATTAGACAAAGAACTGCATAAACACTTAAGCATAAAGAAGGCAGCGTGTACCACAAGGATATAAATCCAGGGACCCAATCTAGTCTTTCTTGTCAGGGAACTTCCTACCAAAGTGAAGAAGTTTCAGTGGGGATCTGAAGAATGGCAGTGCAGGAAATGGAGTTGGGTAAGTGTTCTTGACCCTGGAAACAGCAAGTGCAAAGGCCCTGAGGCAGGGCAAGAAGTCCAGTGCGTTGGGAAGGCAGGGCTTTGTAGGTAAGGAAACAATTATTATGTCCACTATTAGTATTGTTAGCAATGTCAAAGACAGAAGGGTCCTTGCAGACCATATGACCAATTCCCTGACTCTTTTTAGGGAGGACTGAGCCAGAGAGGGGTAGATACTTGCCTAAGAAGAATCAGTGGCACACCAGTAGAACCCAAACTTCCAGACTCTGGCCCATGTGCTCTTCCCTCGTGCTTAGACCTATTTGGATTTTTAAAGAATCTGAATTTGGTGAACCTGTATAGCACACGGTAAAAGGCAGGACAGAGCAGCCTAGCCCTACCTGTTTCTAAGCCTCTCTGAGCCCCAGCCTCATCTTTACTGAAGGCAGTGTCTGGCTGGGTGGAGAGCCAAGGAAATGGGTCCTCAGTGCACACAAAACAAATTCCTCAGCCTGTTGTCCAGAGGTTGGATGCAGCTTCTTTTCGCCTAGTTACTTACAGATAGCCCAAGGCTGTCTAGTTGAAACCTGATGGGCCAGAGTTCAGAGGGCAGCCAAGTTGTTGCTGAGGAAGGGATGGGGCCAGTGAATCTGGGGACAAGCCTGAGAGGAAATCGGCCAAGGATATCAATTTAAGTCAGTCTGGAAACTAGGGAGCGCTATCCAAACACCCTCTCACTTTGCAGGTGGGTGGATGGAGGGCGGGGGGAGCTCGCCCAAAGTCACACGGGGTCTGTGG